AATATATTAAGTTTGAACTTTTTTTTATTTCATATATTTTCACCATGAAAATTTGCACATCCATTGTAAGATTTTTGCAATAAAAGTTTTAATGCAATAAATTTTTTTCAGTAATCGGCCAAATGCCTTTTTTTATTTGGTACCAAACTTCAATGTATTGTTTACTAAGTTATTAAAAGTTTGTTGTAAAATAAATGAATCCTTTTCAAATATGTAACTTAAAGAAAGCAAAGAATCGTAAATAAAGGATATAGTATTTGATTATTTTATCTTTAGTATTATATTCGTTATATGTATTTAATCTGATATATAAATTCTAAACTGGTTTGATAAAATCTATACCTATCTTCAAACATGACGCGAACAAATGCAAAAAGGCTGTGCGACAGCTAGATATAATTAAAAAAATTTTTAAATAAATAGATTTTTACCGATAAATTAAATTCCAGTTATTCATGAAGTCAAAGTCCTGTATGATAAAAATTAAATTCGAGTTTACAGGTCTTCTCTTTCTAACGTAATAAATATATTCATTCTTATTTACAGAATACGTATAATAATTTATCGTTATATATAAAATCTCAACACTGAATATATTTATGTAATCATTTTTAAAAACTAGTTTACTGTATTACACGGTATAGATATAACAAACTTTAACTTATAAAAAAACGTATATAGTTAAATTTAACTTTAACTTTGATTCGATGAAGCTTATTTCGATGCTCTAAAATTTAATAGATGATTCCAAACTCTAATTAAATAACACGAAAATTGTAAGAATGGATCTCTTTATAAGATAGAATCACTAATAAATATAAAGACTTGAATTAAAATAATGAATAATTCAAGAAATATAAGAAAATGAATTAAAAATAATGAACTCTATTCGTTATTTTGACTTTGAAGATAAAATAATTTTTTTAGAAAAAGTTTAAGCAATTTTGTGCATAGTTGCATATATAATAATATATAATAGAGTTATTGGACGCGAAACAATCTTAAAATTAGTTTTAAAAATTTTGCTGTAACAAATTTCAATAAAGAATTTCTTTTTTCAAATTAGCAAAGGAATATTACTGTAAATAATAAACCCAATTATTTAATGACATGCCAAAAAATAGTCTATGCAATTTACATATAAGCTAACTAATGAATCTATATAATAATGCCATTTTACAATCTAATCTATGGTCATTCATAGCTAATGAGATATTTCATCCGATACTACATTATACTTCCACAACAATTTAACGACTATTTGACCATTATACCAAATCTCATCATCATTCTTTCTTTCAACCATCACAAGGGGCGGTTCACGATCATTAAAATCGACGTATGATATTCCATTTCCAAAGTTTGGCATTCTTCGTAATAACAATACAATATGTTCTTTGATTCTATACCACATTTCATTATCTCGTTTCATGACTTTTGCATCCTCCTGCCTAACTAATTGTTTTGCTTCCCCTGCAAGGATCTTCAGGGTCTGCCATGATCTTGTAGACGCTAATGAAACATCTTTTGATCCGCTATTATTGGTAGCAAGATGTTGCATCAAATTTGAAAAATAATCTACAGCTGATGCAAACAATATAAGAGGGGATATATGAGTTATCTGTACGTAAGTATTATCATCTAAAAAATAAAAAAATAAAAATATTATATTATATTAATTAACAAGAACTCTCAAACAAATAAATCAAAGACATATAAAATATAGATACGGTACGAAGCTTAACTTACCATCTTCCCTCCATCGTACTTTTACCCCGTTAGCAGTAATACATTTTTGATTGACCATATTCCACCAAACACCTGCTCCATTTTCATCGGGTATTTGGTCATATGAAAGTGATTTTAAATACGGTATTATGCAATCGGACCCAAGAAGCCTGAAAATATAAATAATTAAAAATAAGATGGAATATTTGTTTCTTGACTTTAAATAAAGGCATATGAAATTAATTTACTCTAATTTCATATCAATAGGTGTTGATAATTTTCTCGTTGGAAGTAACTCTGTTGAAGTTACCAAAGTTTGCAAAGTAGCCAATTCACGTATCCTGAATTCAGTAAAAAAAAAAAAAAAACAATTTAACAATTTTAATAAATTTACACAAAAAATTGTCATTAGTAAATTAAATAGTTAAGACCAACCTTTCCCCGTGTACAATCAATAAATTCACACTGTTGTTATTTAATTTCCTTGACAAAGCCCATAACCCACAATCCATTTTACTTAAACAAGTGATTGAAGATGAAACGTCAAGGTTAACAAATGGTTGCAAAGACTTTTTCTTGTGGCAAATATTTTGTTTGTCAAACATCAATTTTAATCCTTGATTTAATGTATCAGTAGATCCCAATGCTTTGCGAGCATCTTGGACTGCCTTACGTTTTGATGATTCTTGAGATTTATTAAAATCATCATTTATAGGAACATTGACTGCACTCTTCGACCTAAGAAGATCATCAATAGTAGGTTGTCCGATTACAATAGTTCTAACCCCTGACTCTTGTTTTGGCAATGTTTGTTGTTTTTTTGGTGATATTTTTGATCTCATTGGTTCGTGTCGCAATTGTTCAGAAGTATTTGTATCATCTTCGGACTCGATTGTTATTTTCTCTGGAGCGTTTGTGTAGGATGCTGCTGGCTTATAAACATTTACAGTATCTGTATATTCGGATGCTTTTGGTTCATAAGTATTTACAATATCCGTAGAGATTGATTCAAGGTTATTCTCAAGCTCCGTTTGAGTTTCATTTATGTATGACGAAGATGAAGAATCGATTGTATTAATAGATGTCTCTATATCTTCAGAGTCATCAGTCCTTGTGCGTTTGCGTGCATAATTCTCATCTTCATGATAAACGTCATCTGAAATTTCATTATTAAATTGTTCTTGCATATTGTACCTAATTCTTTCTGCATCATCATCCAACGCTGAAAGTTTACGTACGGATCCTCGATTGTGAGCAGTGGAATTAACATTATTCCTTTTATCGCTCGAGATATCTATAAAATCCGTAATACTTGATTGCTTTCCCTGATTGGAATTTTCATTACTTTTGTTATTTTGAAATTGGAATTCGCTGTTAAAATCATGTTCATCATCAATATTGCTTATAGAATCTTGTGGCAATATTTCTAAATCATTTTGTGATGACATTGTATTTTTTGAGCCTTTGCGGTCCTTATATTGCAAATTATTCGTACTTAGTGGTGTACTCGATGGACCAACAATAGAAAGCGTAGTTGGAACATCTGAGCTTTGCGCGTTCTGGTACCATTCTTTAAGTGACTGACATACTTTGACATCGTTTCTTTTTTCTTTATTTACTTTTTTCTTCGTAACCTGATCAGACACTTGTGATGTTAATGACCCACGATCCGTCATTTTTCCCTTGTTTTTATCAAAATCAATAAGATGACTCTCCGATAACGACTCGTTCAAATCATCTGTATCTAAGATAACTAATTCTGGATCATTTTGTGTCATTGTTTCTGGTGATCGTTGATAAATGGATGATGAACCAGCTACTATATCACCAATAAATGATGGTTCGTTAGATGATAAATATAGTAACTCTGAAGAAATTGGTGATAAATTACTGGGTAAATCTGTCAAACCAGCTTTTGAAATCTTCTCAACGCTATAATGAAACATCATGAATGTTGACATTTAAATAAATTATTATAAATAAAATGATATCGTACCTATACTCTTTTTCTGATGACATATTCTGGCAGCTACCATATACATTAATCAACAAGTTTTCAACCGCACTTAAAATTCGTTCTCCTTGATGAAAAAATGCGACATTTTTGCTGGGTTCAACATTAACTTTAATAATAATAATTAATGGCAAGGCAATTTAAGAATTATATTTGTGTGATCAAATTATTTTAAATCAATATTATCTTAAATAGCGCTTACTATCATAGTCATAAGTTGGTAATTTAATATTAATCCACATAAATGGAGTCTTTTTATTTGCTTTGAATTAAAAAAATAAAAATAAAAATATATAAATAAATAAATAATAAATGATATGCATCAAATAATTAAATAAAATGATAGATTAAAATTTATTCTTACCAGTCCAACCATGCTTACACGCGATATCTGTGTAAGTTGATTTTACCATAGATACAATATTTTTTATTTCCCCTCTGGTTGCAATCACGGGTCGATTGTTAAGATAAATGAAACTTTGACCATTCTTAAAAATAATATGTGGTTCTATGAAAGTATAAACGCTAATAAGATTATAAAACTTCAATTAAAATAATAATTAAAAATAAAATAAAAAAAATTTGATTTTCACACTACTCGCATCTGGCTTGGGTAATATGGCTTCAATTACAATTCTACTTTTTATACTATTTGTTCCATCTAATATGTCATAATTCTCATTTTCTATTTCTAAAGAATTCTCTTTATCTGAGTCCCAAACAACAAATTCAACATTGTTGGTGAACTCAACACCATAAAGTTCATTTAATAATTGCATCGGACTTTTCATTGATGGAAGAATCCATTCACCAGCCTTGAAATTTAACTTTGTAGCATTATCATATATTAGTTTTAGAAAAAAACGAATATGTGGATGAGCAAGGGCATAAGTTGTCAAAATATTTTGTACTGCTTTCCCGACTTTTGCCGAATTCCTTTGAGCAGTCTATAATGTTATTAAAAATCATCAATATCTTAATTTAAAAGTAATTAAAAGGATAGATATTAAATTATAAGTAAAGTCATACTTGTCTACGAACAGGCACGTGCGAAAACAGCATTGTAACCACTACAGTTGTCCCTTGAGTAATCCCAACTGGTTTTGAACTATTAAAATATTTAATATCGACGCGATTAAACGTGAATATAATAAACTTAAATACACTTACTCTACAATTTTTCCCGTTCGATCAAGCGAATAACTTATGGCTACTGGGTCTTTAGAAGTTTTTGTAATTATTTGCGTAGACTCGGATACAGCACAGATTGAATTGAGGGCTTCGCCTGAAATACGTATAAATTAAAATTTATGTAATATGAATATAATTAATTATGCATTTAAAAAAAATTATTTTACCTCTAAATCCATATGTTTCTACTTTACTCAATTCTCCAAAGTCTTCCAACTTTGAAGTATGATATCTCAATGCCATTGCTGGCCTATCACTCTGGCTCATTCGCGGATTAGCAGAGGTAGGCAAATTCATTTGTCTCTCGTGGATAAGCATCAGCATCATTATATATCATATTTAATTAAAAAAAAAAATTGGTTTAATCATTTATCTATTACAAGTTTTTAATTCAGTTAAAAGTTGGCTTTAACTATTTATCAG